CCCACACCATCCCCCACACCCCACATACCCACAGGCCCCCACAAACCTATACCCACCCCCCATGCCTTACACCCCTCCCACAATGTACAAGACTTCATTTTAAACTATTATACAATCACCTCTATGTACACTACACAAACACATGAAAATCAGGACAAAAATATTTTTTGAAATCAAATTAATGAATGTTGTAGATGTTTGAATAAAATTTGGGTAATTATATTCTAAATATTATATTAGAATATTATTTGGTATTTTTCTGGTCCTGAGATGGCAAAATCCCTTGCTGAAAGGAGTATTTTCGAGGACAAGGGAAGGGACTTCTGTTGGCAAAGGTCAGGGGTTAGGGGGCATGACATCTGGTCACAAGATGGCGACCGGAGGGTGGGGCACCTGTCAAGGGGCGGGCCTACCCATGCAGCCCACAACAACTTGCCAAAACTCTGTAAGCAGTCCTCCACTTGGGGCCTACCCATGCAGCCCACAACAACTTGCCAAAACTCTGTAAGCAGTCCTCCACTTGAAATAATTGCCTGCTCCTGGCATATGTACATACCCTAAGTCTTTAACTCATGGAGCTACACAATTGTTCACAAGACTCAACTGTTTAGGATCCTAACACAAAAAGGTACACACTGATCCAGAGAGAGACACCATCAAAAGGTACACAGGTTAGTATACCCTAATGACAATGAAACTATACAAAATAAAGTTGCAGGATGTGAGATTAAGGGGTATGGCCCAAACAGGTGACATTAGCACTGTGGCTTAGCTATCTGAGTTTTATGGTCTGGTGATCATCGAAATCCATTGGTCATTGTTTCTCATCATGAGTGAAATTATTTTATTCTAAAATCTTACCCGTGAAATTATTTTATTCTAAAGTCTTACCCGTGCTTTTTGCTCCATTTCCATCATTAGTCTTTCATGTTGCTCTGCTATCGCCAGCGTTGCAGAATGGACTTTCTGGTATATCATCTCACCTTCCCTTGTCTGAAATGTGAACAGCCCTTCTCCTGTGTCACACATCCTAGTATCAGATTGAAAAGAGAGCAGAAGGAAAATATAATCTGAGGACTTTTTATAACACTTGGGCAAAAATTTAAGAGCTCATCCTCCTGTTAGAAATGTTATCACGGTGTTCACAGTTAAATGTATGGCATTTTCAGCCTCTGCATGGCTACTTCTACTAGTGAAGACAGAGATATTCTAAGGGCCTCATTGTATGGGACATTTAACACATGATTTATCTGAGATTGTAATAAGCATTACTGTGACATATTAAAAGTTTGAATGTGCTCTGAGTAGTCACATGGTAATGCTTATTACAATCTCAGTCCACTCTGGGCAGGTCTGGAGACAGCTATGCTCCCCCACCCCTGACGCAGCTTGAATGACTGCTTGTGAGCATGTGCAACCCCCGCAGCTGAAGCTCATGCCCTCCCCTGTGCATGCCCAGCACTACCCAGTCCAGGAGCACCTGCCTTCAACATGCTGGGGCAAGCTGGGTTTCTGCCACAGACAGCAGGTGGAGGGAGGCATGGGGAACCAAGCCTGGGAGAGGGCTCCTGCCACTGGATCAGCACCTGCTGATCTGTGGGCAAGCTGAGTCTGCTGCTGGCAGCCTCAAACCACCTCCAGTACTGTGCTGGAACCAACAATCAGTTGTCAGTCCCAACCCTGGCACCTCACTGGAGTCTCGGATCTGTATCGTCTCCCTGGAGCAGTCTAACAATAGCTGAACAAGTGTTACTTAATATGATCTAGAGATATTCCTTCCACAAAAAGTCATAACTTTGTTACAATATGATCACACTTACCATGTATTTCACTGTTTGAACATAAAGATACTAACATTTTAATTGCAGTTAACACATCTTAAGCATAACATAAAACATGGCTCTAAGAACCATGTGAATGTGTAACTTTGACAGTGAGATGTGTAATTTTAAATTGAGATTTCATCTTTTTGTAAAAAAAAGAAAAAGCATAGGCATCTTGCCAAAAAATAAGAAACCCGTGATAATGCAGCTATTTCAGGCATTGTCTCAGATGTGAGTACTGGTGAGTAGGAATTTCAGTTAGTACTTTTAGCCACTTAATTGGTGCAAAATGTTCAAGGGACATCATGCTTTTGAAGTGTACCAGTGTTCTATTAAAATGTGAACTTCAAACATGCTATAATTGCCTCACACTGCAAGATGCTATATTGAGAGCTGGCATTAAAAGGGTTACTGCTCATATTGATTAAATACATTTGCACTAGCTTCTGTTGTCATTCAGGATGAGTATATATTCCACACATGAAAATAATTTCTATTATACCATGAGTAAAATGATGCAAATGTAATCTATTATACCATGAGTAAAATGATGTAAAAAAGTGCTCTTTCTTAGTTAGGCTAGTTGCTTTGCTGTCTCTCTCAGACTTTCTAGTGATCTTGCAATGAACAAAAAGGTGTGTTAGTTAAGATGAATGAATGAGCCAAGAATGTTTTCAAATCTGAATAACATCCACGGCTCCGACAATCTTGCATGCATCTCCATTAAAGACCAACATCTGAGTAGTTAGATGTCCAACTCTGCTTTGTGCACGCAAAAATCTGTTCCTGCAGGATTTGAGTACTGGTGTGCAAAATTTTACAGGCCAAATTGAAAACTCATTGTTAATTTTGTCCCATATTATCAATTAAGAAATTTAGTATGATTAAAAAAGTATTTGATTTTCTCAAATTCTTAGAAATATGAATAATGAATATTTTCTCTTAAACTTAGTAAAACTGAGATTTTCAAAACAGACTAATGATTTTGGTTGCCTAAATATTTTGATATCCAGTTAAAATCAAAGTTTATTGAATGCCTCCAGGACACTAATTACTAATTACATTTTGTAAAATTACATTTTAAATAGGTACAATTGTCACAAAATTATTCTTTTTCATTGTAATTTGCAAGAAAATCCTTGAAATTTTTTAAATAGCTGGTATTAGTAAACTCTTTCCAATTCAAATTTTCAACCTGATATATTTGATATCAAACCAGATATTTATATAAAAAGGCTGATGAATACCAGCCCTGGTTAAAGATTTTTTATTTCCCAATATGTGTACACAAACAATTGGAAAATTCAATATCCAAAGAGAAAAGCAGGCAAAATATATGAAAGGCTACTTGGAAGTATAATAGTTAGAATAGTCCAGAATCACTGTAATATACTGTAGATAACACCAGGTCCAAAACCTAGCCAACCAAGCAAACACATAAAAAACCAAATCAAACCAAACCAAACCAAACGAAACCAAAACAACAAGTGCCCCTGCCCCACTCCCTCCATCACCATGAGGGACTGGATCTGGGCCCCAATGCTCCTTCCCTCCCCCACAATCCTTCACCCCCACAGACTTATTGGCCAGACACTGCTCTCCAAGCTGCTGGACTGCATATTGGCTATTGGATTGGTATCAACCGATATGGCTGGTTAATAACCAGACATTAGTATCAGCCAAAAAATTATTAGTGCACCCCTAATATAAACACTGAAAAGTGTTTAAATACTTAGCCACAGTTCTTCAAAAAGCTTCTGGTAGAAATGAAATGTCTCAAGAGTTTTGAGATATTATAACAACAGTTTAGATCCCTTAAGGCACTGTACAGCTGGCACTTATTTTTTGTGCAAAGAGATCTTAATAAAATGCAACTAGCATGAAATGGCAAGTCTGGAAAATTGATGAGTTTCACAAACTAGAGCAAAGTATGACTTCTGTATTGGTTTCAGATGAGGGGAAAAAGTCTAATAGGGATAACAACAAGGAAAGAATCAGGAGGTTTGATTAAGATTCAAGAGGTAAGCTACTTATTTTAACAAAGGAAAAAAATATCACCAGCCAGTGCAGATATAATTGTATTTTATATCCTTACTATTCAACTGAAATGGAGGATAACATTTTGAAGGTTGTGTCTTCTAGTTGGAATGGGAAAGTGTAGCCCAAGATGTATAATGTCAACATCAGAAATCTACTTATGGCAACTATCCAGTACACATACTGGTTGTTTCCCTGGCTAAGAAGTTATATATATAGAAATGCTCAGAAGCAAAGGAGAAAACATTATGGGTGTCTCTCTAAAGAACTCAGCTCCCTCAACTCCCTTTGAAGTCAATGGTAATTAAAAGCTTTCAACAGCTAGTAGGAAGCACTTAGCATCTTGTAGATCCTATAAAAAGAAAATTATTGTTTGGAAATAACTGGTGGAATAAAGCTCCCTTTCTTCCATATAGGATTATTATTGACACTTATTCTGCCAAAGAGGCACTTACTATCTTTACTCAACTCCAAGACAAGGATTTTCTTCCCTATTCCACATACGAAAAAAGGAAGCCTCAGCTTAGAATCGAGTATTAAGTGAAAATACAGTGCCTACAGCTAGAGGAGGTGGGAGGAATCCATTAAGCAATGAGACCCAGCACAGAACCAGGACCTAGTAGGAGACCCAGAAGACAGCCAGAGGGTTGTGAAGGTTCCCACACAGAGACAGAGAGAACATGGGACATAAGTTGGAACCAGGAAGCAGAACGAGACCCAGCACAGAGCCAAAGAGCAACTCGGGACCCAGGGGGGAGCCAGGGAGTGGCAAGACATTGCAGCTTGAGACCCAGCACAGAGGCACCTTTCAGTACAGCATGAAGTGGTCGAGGCCTGGGAGGCCAGGCACTGTTGAATGGCAAGTAACAGGGGTGACAAGCAGTGGTGGGGGCAAGTAGCTGTGGGACAGCCATCGGGGGGGGGGAAGTTGTGAG